GATCAGCAGTTTCTGAAGTACTCAGACCAGCCCGTCTGGCACCAACAACCATGCCACGTTCACAGTCACTTAAATCACCTTTCTTCCCCATTCTGATGCTCGGTTTGAACTGCAGCAGATCATCTAGATCATGTCTACATGCCTAAATGCATTGAGCTGCTGCCATGTGATTGGCTGATTATACATTTGCATGAGCAGTTGGATCGTTGTACCTAATAAAGTGGCCAGTGAGTGTATATATTATGTAACACACACGTGTCACTTTCTCTGATCATCTTCTAATTTACTTCCAGGAGACGCAAATGTCTTGTATCTCACTCATGACATGCATTAGGACTTGTTTATCACATTACCTAAAACTTGTCAATGGCAGAGAGGGTTTTTTTTCTTGAAATTGAGTAAAGCTGCGGTCACACTGGACTTTTCTCCCCATAGACTTCCATTCATACGCACGCGAATGCGTCAGACCGGAAACGCAAAGTCATGCGTCAAGTTTTGCAGGTTCCTGCGGTGCAAAGTTCAAGCTTGGTGAACTCTGAACTGCAAAATCGCATCACTTGACTGCGTGAGACCAATCGAGGATCAAAACATGAGCTCTCTGGACAGGAATTTAAAACATGGTGCAATCGCTTGCTTTATTTAATGTCTAATAATATTTTCACAGCGCCGCATGACAGAATTTCGCATGATCAAACTCTGTGTGACCGCAGCTTGATCTTGTGAATGACGGGGAAAGAGTTAACAAGACGTCTCATTAACCTTGTTTAAAAGGTATTTGCTTATTATTATTAATTTTGTACATCAACTCTGTTCTTTTAGTAATTCATTAAATAATAATACTGTAAGCTAAAACCATACAAAAAAGAAAAAGCATTTACATCTAAACATGAAACACAAACGTCCTTGTTGACTGAGTTGAAGCAGAGCTTTACTCAACATCTGTCATGGTCTGGAGTGAACAGAGAGATCAGAGTAGCGTCCTCGTTGTTCTCCAGCAAGTCTTTCGTGGGTTTGGGCTTCTTGAACAGAGACGGAAGGTTTCGGATGTGCACTTCCTTCTTGAACTGCTGTGCGAGGGGTTTCTGTCGAACACACACAAATGCATCAACCCATGAAACATTTCAACTGAAAGATGCATCTCATTTAGCAAGACACGGTTTTATAAATATATAAATATTATATTTATATATATATATATATATATATATATGTGTGTGTGTGTGTGTGTGCAAGAAGGTCGCTGGTTCAAGCCTCGGCTCAGTTGGCGTTTCTGTGTGGAGTTTGCATGTTCTCCCTGCGTTTGCGTGGGTTTCCTCCGGGTGCTCCGGTTTCCCCCACAGTTTAAACACATGCGGTACAGGTGAACTGGGTAGGCTAAATTGTCCGTAGTGTAGGAGTGTGTTTGTAAATGAGTGTGTGTGGATGTTTCCCAGAGATGGGTTGCAGCTGGAAGGGCATCCATGGCGTAAAAACATGCTGGATAAGTTGGCGGTTTATTCCGCTGTGGCGATCCTGGATTAATAAAAGGACTAAGCCGAAAAGAAAATGAATGAATGAGTGTGTGTATGAGTGTATATATATATATATGTAATCATTATAATTGAACAATATAAATATTTATAATACGTTTAAAGTTAACATTAATTCATATTTTATATTATATTTAATAATTGCATTAATATATTTCTTTTGGTCATTTGTTTATTAGCATAAATGCAAGATTTGCATTAGGCTATTAACATTACATTAGCTACTACTAACCTGTGGAAAGGCTGTCATCAAAATCAGGGAACGCCTTTTTTCTGGGTTTGGGGCATGTGACTACTTTTACATGGACATCAGTGATCTAATGATTTGCCTTAATCTGAATAAGACAGTAATATGATTCAGGTGTTTACATGAGCTGCTTTTTGAATGTTACATTCATGATTCCCAGTTACATGTTATAGCACATAGATCCGTCAGCGTCTTTGCGTCACCAGCCTAATGTTTACTCTGCTGTTTGTGTCTGTGGTTCTTTAAGATAATCAAAAATCACTATTTCTGTGGTGGACTCTTGATCAGAGTATTGTCTTAATCATATTAACATCAGAGTATTGGTGTCCATGTAAACATACTCAGGTAATGTGCCAGATGCTGTTAAAGACTGTCCATTCCTCACCTTTAAGTTGACTCCATGAGCCCTCACATTTCATAAGTTTGACGTGTTTCTCCCTTACATGCAACTTTTGTAACATCTGCTGCATGTTGGCGTGTCAGAATCCTTGCTTGTAAAATACAGCCATACTGTAGAATGCTTAGTTTAAGCAAATTAGATGAACGCGATCCTGCGTGTTGATGAAGGGAGTTGCTCGCCGCATGCGCCGTACTGTGCACTTTGCCTCCTATAAGCTACAATAATAATCGCCTGACATCCGTATCCCTCAAAGCTGTTTAGAATTAAACATTAAGAGATTGTATGACACAACGCTTACTGTGTGCCTTTAACGCATCTCTTTATGCTTCTTAAGCGCGTCACACAACGAATGCACCGCTCAGAGATGAGCACAGCGCGCACATTATAGTTTACAGCATCACACACCAGACGTGCACATTTGCATGTTATTTAAAATGAAACTATTCAGATGGCAGAAATATGAACAGTCATGAGTCGTGGCTGAGCGCCGTGGAAAGCCGCTGACTTGCGAATTCTAAAATGCATGGCGCTGCGCGGCGCTTCTGGTGCACGACCTGCTTTACGTTCTTGTTGCAGGACCGAAATTCATATGCCGATTCGATCCGGTGCATACCGGTTACAATGGCTCTGGGTTTCTGTACCCAACCTTATATTTGATATGCAGTAATAAATTTGAACGTCATAGTTTTCCTTATGTACATGTAGACATTCAATGAAACATTACGTCATGAACATGTATTTGAAAGTTCTGGAAAAGTCTTAAGTAAAAATGTGTATGAATGCTGATATTATTTATGATTCTATTGCTTTTTTCTGTTTATTAAAATGTAATTGTTTTGTGCTAGAGGAGTAAGTAAAGTGGTGTACCCCGACAGTTCCTGCGATGAGTCTCCTAAACTGCTCTTTCTTCTTCTTCTCTCCCAGCTTTGACGCTCCGGGCTGGATCTTCTGGTCAAACTGCTCCAGCGCGTCAGCCTGGACATCAGGGATCTGATTCATGATCAAGCGCAGCTCTGCGTATCGAGGTCTCTGTACACAAACAAAACAAAACTATCAAGCGAAATATCCTTTTTCAAATGATGTTTCATGGAGCAAAGCTTTTTTTGCATTATATTTCCTACAATATTTTTCTTCTAGAGCAAGTTTTATTTGTTTTAATTTCGGCTAGAATAAAAGCAGTTTTTAACTTTTAAAGTTATTTTAAGGTCAATATTATTAGACCCCTTAGGCAATATTTGTTTTGGATTGTCTACAGCGCAAACCATTGCAGGGCTTGAAATTGCGACCATTTTGGTCGCATATGCGCCCGAAAATTAATCTATGCGACCTCATAATATATATGGGAGCATTAGTGCGACTGCTGATAATGGTTGTAGTGCGACCTGTTTAGATTTTTTTGTAAAAACGTGCTGAATCACTCTTCCCTGCCGCTATATTGGTTCATATTAGCTGTCAATCACTCGAGGTATTCCGCTGTCAGATGACAGGAAAGGAGCTTTTATGACCACGGGAAATGCAAACGGCTGAAGAGTAAAAACTTAAAGCACACAGGTTTGCAAACCCCACCTAAAGTTGAGGCGCAGATGAGAGCGATCATGACATGTCACGTGGTGAATAATGATCCGCCAGCTGAGATCAATCGAGTACGCGCTTCTTGGAGAAGGTGCCCGAATCTCCATGTGTTGCATTCACTGCGTGTTCAGCGCAAATGTCTGCTATAAGTCAAATCTAATACTGTACATATCATCGCCAAAGAAGCTCGCCTTTACTAAGTTTACACTCAAAGTGCGGCTCATAACAAAGAGCGGTATTGCGCCGATGGTTAGCACAAGAATCCTGCTCTGCCTGCTCATAAATTGGGTCGGCTGACTCGCCAGCTTTTCCACTAACACAGAAAAATGGAGATCAGCTCAGACTGAACCTTTAAATTGACACAAACTGAAACCAAAACTTTTAAAGAGTGATAGAAGTGAGACTTTACTTGCTTTCTTTTGTCTGTTCTTTTTTGAGGTGTATATATATATTTTTATTTATTTACTGATGACTGCTTTGCAGCTTTCATCATTGAATTGAATGATTTATTATAATCTTTTGTTTGTTTTGTAGCAGAAATATTCTTTATTAAATTGACATGCATATATAAACAGCAGTACAAAATCAATATTTCTTACTGCAATGCTTCATTTTTGTTTGATGCAAACTATACAATTATTTTTCATAAAGTAACAGACATTTTATAGCAGATAACCTACATTCATGCACATTCAAGGCAGTATCATAATGAGAAATGGAATTCATTGTTACTATTATTGTCATTTTTTATCATCATTAATATTCTATAGCCTAATTATTAGACATTCATTTTGGAATTATTGCACACAAATATCAATGTCTTCACAGCATTAGTTAGATAGTTGTTCCTAGTTTTTGTCAGTCCTATTAATGTTGTTTTAAAATACAATAAATCCCTTAAAAAGCAATTTGCAGCGGTGCTCATTCATTTTTGGTGGGTGCTCCTAAATTTTTTCAGGTGCTCCTAAATTTATTTTGGTGCTCCTAAATATTTGAAGTTGGGAGCACCGGTGCTACCAAGTAAAAAAGTTAATTTCGAGCCCTGCACTGTTATACAATGACTTGCCTAACTACCCTAACTTTACCCCAATTAACCTAGATAAGCCTGAATACTAGTGTCTTGAGCAATATCTAGTCAAATATTCTATGGCAAAGATAAGTCAGTTATTAGAAATTAGTTATCAAAATGATTATGTTTAGAAATGTGTTGAGGAAATCTCTCTGTTAAACAGAAATTGGAAAATAAAATACACAGTGGGGCTCATAATTCTGACTTCAACTGTAGCTAGTGACACTCGTGCGTGATCATATGCGTGACGTACTAGAGACTCGTAGATGAGCAAGGCCAGTTGAGTGAGCGCCACATTACAGCCTTCATGTTGTCCGTGCATCTGCAGACCCTTCAGGACGCTGGCGAAGAGCCACGTCACGGCCTCCGGGAGCAGATTCCCACCCTGAACCTGCACAAATATTCACACACAAACACTACCGTTAGAGAAGCACGATATATTGGCGGCCATACCGATATCAACTGATAGTTTTAATATTAACGCTGTAACGATTTTAATATTAATATGCTGAATTACAAATACAAGACAAAAAGCATCATCACCTGTTTCAGCAGCGTCCAGCAGAGCACACCAGCAGTGCGTTGACAGTTTACAGTGTCTTTCCAGGACAGACAGTTAAAACATATAGTCAGGACAGTCATGTAAATATCCTGAAAAGAAAGAGGAGATAAATTACACTTAGACATCAGCTTTAGCCACTGATGAAGCTCACATTGTCCAAGAATTACCTCGCTTTGGAGAAGGCACTTGCCCAGATCTGAGAGCTCGTCTGAAGGTGTGTTGACCTGATTCCCCTGTGAGGAGTCCATCGACACCATCTCCTCATCTCCTGGACAGAAGAGGGACAAAGCCTACATCACAATCCAAACAAATATGAACATAGTGTTGTATTTTATTTATTATTATGCAAAGAGGTGCACAAATGTAAATGTACAATCGTTGTTAAAATGATTGAAAAAAAAATATGGACATTGTATTTTTTTATTATTATAATTTTATTTATTATAAATATAAATAAGAGGGCTGAAAATATTGACCTTAATTTGTACATTTTTAAGGGTATTTTCACACCTGCCTTATTTAGTTCGGTTGAATCGCACTAGAGTTCGTTTTCCCCT